GCACTAGTGCAAATATCACTTCACGCGCGCCAGTGTATTGTTGGCGTAATTCGAATCTTATTGCGATTTAAGGTCGGAATGACGTCACAATATAAATTACGTCGTAGCTGAAGATTGTTGACGTCATTCGACAATTTAGGGGAGCTCAAGAGGAATAAGAAATAATAGAAATTGTTATCGTTTAAGAATCCATGTTTTACACTCGCTCCCGCTCGGTAAATTCAAGAATTCTAACACTCGATCAGGAAAATCATCGCACACGTGCTCGTTTAATGATCTCCATCAATATCCATGCCCTTGTGTAATATGAATAGCACACTGCCCGCACTGCGGTATTACGACTAAAGGGAAATAACTCTTACAGACTGAGTAGTTCACGGCTCCGACTTATTCTCATGGTGCCTGTGAATGATACTTGAATTTATTAAAGTACAAAAATGTTCTATGAATGCAAACAAGCAGCAATTTAGTCGAAGAACTGTTAGTTTTGTTTGTTTGATTCAGTTATATGTGTTAACAAGTTAACCTAATTAGTATGCTTCAAGAAAGTGATCCATGTCATACATCACGTGGCTCCATCGTGTTTATTTAATGGATATATTAGCTTTATTGTGCATGTTTTTAACGGATATATATTAAGTTCTCGTCACGTAATGGCTGAAATCTCGACGATACTAAACATTCGTTCGCTCACAACGTGAGTTAACCAGTATTAAAAAAGGATAACTTAGGTCAATACCCGAAATAATGCGCCCTTAGATATTGCATTTTATGCATTTTATTTCGGCTTATACTTGATTCATACTAGTAAACTCAGGTTAAATCTAGTCAATTCTGTTTGCCAGATATATGGTAATCTCATTTGACTCAGGTCATTCAAAGTTTGATATTCATTTAAATGTTTTTATTCATGATTGAATCAATACATGAAACTAAATCGCTTTAACGAAAACGTCACTTTCAATCTGCTAACTCGAGTAATGCATCCACCGAAATATGACGTTCAGCAACTTAGGTCAACCGAAGTATGATGAAATGAGTTAAGATGTACTCACAAAACACAGTTTCATCTTGGTCGTCCAGGCTTTTGACATCGTACGGCAGAACTTACATTGCAAAGTCAAGATGTTCCGGGTGCTTCGTTCGTGTCAGCATTTATTAGCAGGTGGCTGTGGAACGAAAGCAACTTCGGAAGAGCGTATGTAACGAGAGTCAAGCAGCCGGTAGCCAGGAGCAGACCATGCCATTATTGAGCTTGTTATAAGTATTAACTTATTCGGATAGATGTTTAACATATATCCAACAAAATGTGTTGATGGTGAACATAATACCCAAGTCACGAAGTCACCTGACCGAGGAAGCAGTTAACACGTAAGGGGCCAGAAAGCAATATGGAGTTGGGGTGCGCACCCACTGCACCCCCACCTAGAACCACCTGTGGTAAATATCGTCTATACTCCCGTCTGTGGTTGGAATTATTTATATAAAGCTGGGAAGTATGCTTCTGTCAAAAGATTTCGAAAAATGACACAATTATTAGACTTTAATACGGCAGTTAGTACAGACGTATTGAAGGTAATGTGCTGAACCTGTATTATTCACTGTTTATCGTAGTTGATTTCCTTCTTTATTGGCCTTTTTGCAGCATGCCAGATAGCGGGGGAAAGAGTTAGCCGAGATATGTCTCGATCAAGGGGGGTAATCCATTCACAAGTAATATGCATCATTTTTGTGTGAAATAATTGTTTCTAGCGTTCAGCTTTAAACAGATTGTTTTAATCATTAAAGCACAAATGTTGTTAAAACAATTTCTATTTACATACAGTATTTTAGACGTTGATCAAGAATAGTTTGTTATAAATTACAAATATGTATTACGTTTAAGATTAATTACCCTGATTTCTTTTGATAATATTATTGTTAAGTTCTAGCCTTGATATTTTTAAGGATTACTACATATGCTATTAGCATGTGCCATAGGTATCTGTAGCTCACCTAATTACATATTGATTTTTGGGCCGTGAGAACGGCTACACTTAATTGTTGTACAAAAATTAAAGCTAGAAGATGAAGTGGTGTGATGTCATATTGCTGATAAAAACTAAATCAGTAATCACCCTATAATTCAACAGTGGGAGATTGTTTGTAGAAGCCCCTGATGTGTTGAAGGTCACCAGTTTGGAAAGGAGATAATCCTAATGTTCATATGGGATATGTCGATTAATGAACCGTTTGATACAAAAGCAGAAAATGTTATTGTACAAATCAAACTATCAATTTTGACTTTTCATAACGACAACATAAATGTTCATTACATTCATATGAAGTACAGTATTTGAATTATTATAATCGATCTAATTTAAACGTTTATATTGTATTGTAATTGCTAATGCTAATGTATGTGATTTCTTACCTCTATTTTGTTTATGAAGAAGACACTTGAACCGGTGTTACATCTGCTCGTAGCGTGTGCCACAGGAACCCTTAGCTCATGTAACACAACATGTTTTGTGTGTGATGACGTTTGTTTTATAAGGATCAGTTAGTATTATTATAGGCTATGATTTGTTTTTGTTTTTGTATAACTATAACATTGCATAAGTTATTTTCACACGTGCAATAGTTAGTGTCGACAAGAAAAAGAACGAGTGACATGTTAAAAAGAATTGCGTTTGCGTCCTTCCTAACTTATCACAGATAGACGAGGGTCGGGGTTTGGAATGAATAGTAATTAACGACAGGGAATTGTGGGTAGTTAAAGACACTGCTCATTGGGAGTTTCGGGTTCGTTTATTTTGTTGTGCCTTGGGTCAATAGGTTGGCTTGCAGCTTCCAAGAGAGTTTATGAGCGAGACAAAATAGAGCGGAAAGAGCTGGGAAGGGAGATAATCCTTATGAGTTGATACGCACAATCCGTTTGTAACAAACAGGGTTATAATATTTAAGCTTCAAGTATATATTTTAATTTTCCATAATAATAACATTAAAATAAAAATTACATTGTAAGGATTTGTTGTGGAAATACTTACTTGAATGATTTTAACTTTCATATTTTGAGCGTGTATTGTAATAAATAGTGTTTAGGTATGAACATTCTTATTTTTCTAGTATGATGAAATTCACCCGTTTACAAGTACTACATATGCTATTAGCATGTGCCAAAGGTATCTGTAGCTCACCTTTTTACAGATTGATTTTTGGGCCGTGAGAACGGCTACACGGTTAATTAAGATAAGAAGTCATTGGATGTGGACGAGATATATGCATATATGGTACTCCTGAACGTTTAAATGCGTTATGTAACTCTCAAAATAAGCGTGATGTTCTGAGGCAAATAATACCTTTAAAGCGTTCTACTGAAACTTATGTTGGTCATGCACCGCTTTTCCACAAAGAAGTAGGTCTATTACAAGTGTATGATGCAGTGTGTTCCCTCACAGGTTTGCTCATATGCAAATAGACATGGTAGTTCGAATACGATCTATCTTTCACTGTAGCTTGCCATTTTTTGCGTTTCCGTTTATTTGTCAACATCTTTCTCGACACTCGATTTATCCAGCTCACGTGACCATAGTGCACTCTCTTAAAACACCAAAGAGCGCGTTCGCAACACACCCATGTGCATCCTCTACATCCATGTGTTGACATCAAAATGTGTATGAACACTGCTTTTTTGCATGACACGTAAATGTGTTTTATTTGTTGTTTAACACAGCACTCAGCAATATTCCAGCTATATGCAGTTAATGGAAGACCTCGGGCTTCTGCAAATGATAATGCCCTGAAAAATAGCGTTACCCTTTTATCAACCAAGTCAGCGAGCCTGACCACGCGACCCCCATAGTCGCCCCTTACGACAAGCATCTATAGTCGCCTTTTACGGACATGCATGTAGGACATGCGCGAAGGACATGCATGTTTCGCGCTTCTTTTGGTCTATACTGCACACGTGTACCCTGGTAGAACTTTCTAGATGGACTATGCACGTTGTACAAAGTGTTGTGTGAACACTTCGAATCAAAATTTCTTGAAATGCCAATTTGCCGGAAACAACCTCTTCCCCCTCGCTGCGAAAGTTACCTCCCTTTGGCCATAGTGCAGACTCTCTGAGACAACAATCACTATCTACAAGCAACACATGATCGATAGCCCGCAGCTAAACGCCTTTTCAAACATATACAATCTTTGCAAAATTACTTATGTAGATATTATATGACAGCCTTGACTTTGTAATATCAGACCCACGGAATCGTTTTGTCACTGAAGCTATTCAGTGTAGGAATAGACAAAGATCGATTAGACGATGATTGGAATGTATCTATGGAAATATCATGCATGCATTCATACAATTTACTACAGTGGCGCTATTTTGTTCTGGGTAGTACGGGTAAAAATCAGGAGCACCGTGTCTCGCAGTTATGTCCCCTTACTTATCAGCAGGAGCTTCTCGCACAGCAACATTATTTAGTATTCCTATTAGTTACCGCTGATAATAGCAGTACATAATGTTGATATTTGTATCTTACATTACAAAGTTGTTGACGGGATAATTGATAAGTATTCATCATTAATGTATAAAATGGTGTCTTAAATTTTTTTTAAAGGTGATAAAACCCCACCCGCTTCATAGGTTTTCACGTCTCCATTCTCTCACCTCTCAAATTTTGCTGACCCAACCCCCAACTGTAGCCCCCCCCCCCCCCCCCGCCCATGTAGCATTTCCACTGACTCCCCTCCTCACAACATCATAACACACACTGCATCCACATCAAGCCTTGGGTGGAAATTGGGTTTAAAATAATCTTTTCCGCTTTTAAGTACATTGCCTTAAAAAACCGTTTATACAGAATAATGTAGATATTGATTGATTTTATTATATCTGTGACGCTTTGATTAAATACAGCAACTCTGTGAGCCAAGGGTCTCTCATTGTTTGCTTGTTCATGTCAATGTGACCCGATCCGAAAGTCCCGACGCCAACTTTTGTCCCATCATGCAATACTGCCCATGTGAAACTGGACAAGATGGCGGCCAAGTTTAAAGTTGGAGATCTTGTGTGGTAAGTTTTCGCGAATTTTACAAATACGATATGAGAATCGCTTGTCATTTTATTTGCATATCAGAATATTTATGTTTCCCCTGATTTCGTTTCAGGGCAAAGATGAAGGGGTTCCCGGCCTGGCCAGGAAGGGTGAGTTTACAGCCATACCGGCAGCGGTTTGGGCTTTGCTGGCAAACGCATTGTGTGTCAAACACCTTTCACCGGAATACGCATATTTACACTCTGATCATCGAGTAGACTCATTTTTTCTTGTTGTATATGGTAATAGGGGTCTTTTTTCATTATCGCATAAGCAACATAATGTATATTTACATCTAGAAACAGCAAAAACGACACGAAAATATTTTGTCTTACACAGTTATCTCCCCTTAACCGACACACCAAGCACCTGCCAACAACCTGATGTCAAATGGGTTTCACTGTTATATTTTGATCTTTTTTCTCTTTGTATCTTGGTATTTTGATACAGTCAGTTCATATTAAGTTTGAATTATCTTTTCAGTTATTTTGAGAATAGTTTTCATTCATGTCTAGTTTACAATAATATATACGTTCTTACTATCTTTAATACTCTCAATATCACTGGTGTGTATATATAAAATATTTGTCATACAAAGACAGTCTACCTAAACTCAGCTTCTATTAGTACCTACTGTCCATGGTTTTTACCTAATGTAGGATGATGCGATTTTTTTGTTTTTTTGTTTTGAAATTACATATATGTATTTAAGACGTAGGCAATTCTATTTTACAAATGTGTGTGATTCTTCAAATTGAACTTAGTTTGGGGTTTTCTGCAGTTAGAGATTAGAGGTTATGGGGTAGCCTTGTGGTTGAAATGGTGGCAGACCCATCCTCTGTTATGATGTTTCTGGAATATGCTAAAAGTTTCATAAGTCCCAACTCTGACACTCATTACAAACTGACACTAATGTTAGTGTAGAAACCTCAATTGTCCCAAGATGAAAAGTTCTGACCAATAAAACATATGTGCAAATATGAAGACGGCCAATAAAGTAATATCCTGTATGTTAGAATCTACATTCTTGTTTCCTCTACACATAAACATAAATTTCCCACAGGAGTTATTACAATCAAGAGACTTGATGGAGAATTGTTCGGTAACAGACTGATCCTAGAAATCATTCAAAGAACTTAATTGTTGAAATTAACTGTACTCAGCTGCAACAGAACAGTAACTGAGCATCTCTGTATCTATGATCATTGAAGCTAAAAAATAACTGGAAATAACTGTTTATAATGCTGAGCACCAGTAAGTTTCTGGGGAGGAAGATGGCCATGGACCTCAGTCACATGTATCCACAGGTCCTTGAAGCATGTTAAGACAATTTATCAATTGTTCTTGTGTTTCAACCCTGACACATTTCTGAAAATAGGAGGATGAAGTTTTGTAGGTAATACATTACAGAGCCTGTTTTGAAATCATTTAGAAGAATTGTAAAATGGTAAACTATGAACCAAATATATTTGTGTATCATGAATGTGTTGGTTTTGTAATGGCTTCAGTTGATCCCCTTTAAAGGTCTCTTCGGGTTCATTTCATTTGAAATTCTAAAGGGAAATTCCCAAAATCAGTTTGTCATATAGATCCTGAAACTGTAAATACATGTTGTTTTGACATCTACAGATAGGAAAATGTGCCCAAACAGGAGTGGTATCAAAAGTTGAATGAAATAAAACATTGGGAGCAAGTTTTTAAAATAGTTTTCATGACAGAGAATGAGTTTGAAATGTTCGATGGACACTTTATATTGATAATGTTTACCATAATTTATTCTCCTAGTTTCCTGCACCAGGTATAAAAGACATTCATGGATTTCAACCCTATTTTCAGTACCCTCTATAGTTACATATCTCATTAGTGGTTGAAAAAAGGCTGACAAGCTCGTACAAATGTGAGTGTTGCTGTGATTGCTGTATCCGACTGCTGTGCTAAGATGGATCATACAGTCTGTAGGCTGCTTGTGTAGAGTTCAGCATCTTAGTTCAGTGTAAGAAGTGGTCCTTCGCAGGGATACCCAGCTTCAACTGATTGGGTCCATTTAATGAGACTGGTCAGAGATATCCTTCTGTATGTTATGTTCTGAGACCAGTAACAGATTTGAAGTGCTAAGTGTTTGACACTGTCGTGAACATCTTGGAAAAATGTATTTTGTTATTGTTATTGTTTTACATTATTTGAAATTCAGCTAAAAAAAATGTCCTGCAGATGTCTTAATTTGTATCATTGTTTAAATAGTTCTTGCTTTATCAACTACTCTAGAATGTAGTGGGTTTCAGCAGATTGTACTGTAGCTACAGTGTTGTGATACTGATGTCAAACAAAAACTGTGCCTGTAATACAGCTGAAAAACAGATGCAGAAAGATTTTCCTGCACTAATCATGGTGTGTTTTGTGTTTTGCAGGTCATCCAACCCAAGGATGAGGTGAAGCGTCCATCCAACAAGAAGCCACATCATTTTGTCTTTTTCTTTGGGTCTGAGAACTAGTATGTATTAATTGTATTGCTTGCTCATAGCATTGATTTGGATTGCTGTCTTTGGTTATGTTGGTCAATCACCAAGCCTTGTCAGTGTAAAATAGAAAATAGTATGCCAGCATGATATATTTATGGTGATACATTCTTCGGGAGTTTTCTAAGTGTGTCTCCTATGCTTGTCATGTCACATGAGGCAGCTAAATGAACATGGTGGTTGAGCTTGGAGACTTGGTTCATTGTGTACACCCCAACAATGGGGGATGCTGCTCATTATATCAATCACTACATTGTCTGGTTCAGACTATTAACAGGCCACAATCATATACCTGGTAGTTGGAATATTGGTGAGTAAAGTGTAGAGAACAAACAACCTACTGGTGACAAATGACAGACTGATTCACACATGTGCATGATGCTTGGCTCACACTGACATTGCAGCCCCTCATCTTCAACATACGCTGTCATACTGTAGTGGCAAGCAATGCAGCAGTGTTATCACACATAGCACCATATACAGGTCAAGATGCAATACACATTTATGTCAAAACATGTGGAAACTTGAATATAAATATTTCAGAGCAGGTTTATGAAACATTGTGTATCTAACTGTTTGACTGGCCTTCTAGAAGTTGGTGAGTAAATAAGAAAACATACAATCAAGACAACTTATGGTTTATTGCATTTAGCAATGTGTAATATGATGTTTTGGTGTAAGATACGATATTGATAACAGTGTAAGAATCTACATCGAAATGTTGCTAAATGCAATAAACCAGAAGTTGTTGTCCATAGAGTTGTATGTTTTCTTATTGTCATGCATCATTAATATTTATAATTCAGGTACCTCCTCACTGTTAAGAAAACAAGCAAAACAATTTTAGCAAGTGTATCATCTTGTATTGACACAGTAAAAATGTGCAGTGCACACGTCTTGTGTCACCAAATCATATTATGTGCACAGCAGGGATATAGATGTTGAAAACTGAACATATATTAGTCCAAGTGTCAGCAACTATGTTGTGTGATGTGATCATGTGGATTGTCTTTTGACAGAGGACTGTTATGGGTTTGACTTGGGATTGATCCTAGCTGTGTGAGTGTGGCCAGATGACCAGATAAGTTGCATATCAATGATATCATGCACTGAGTCAAACAGCAAAAATCACCTATATTACCAAATTCATTTTGAGTTATGACTGTGTCAAATCCCAATAGGATAACAATGCTGTGCTTATGATTTAATAAATGTAGACTTTTGGCAGGTGTATATGTTTTTCCTGTCTGATCTATACCGGGGTTTCCTTGATGCAGAAAACCTGCATATTTGATGCAGAGTAAATATAAAATACCGTATTCGATGTAATAAGCGCTCAGGGCCCTATTAGAAATAGGGGGCTGTTATTAGAATATAATTTTGGTGAGAGAAAAAAACAGAGTTGAAAGATTGTAAATTTCGTCTGTGCGTTATATATATTCCAGAATAGATATATTTTCCAGAATTTAATTGGCCATTCATATTATAAACAAATGAATAAGTCTTGTGTACATTGATCAACCGGAAAGGGTGCTAATTGGGATTGTTCACTAGCCAATATATTTGCCTATATCGCCATGGACGCTTATTAGAGTGGGGTACTTATTACATCGAATAGGATACACAATATCAATATTTCCATTCTGACAGTTGTGATGGAGATCATTCAGTTTATCAAAATCAATAACTTAATTGCTCTGTGCTGTTGGACTTTTTAAATTTAAAACAGATATATCCCATGGCAATAAAATACAACCGATATAAGCCTCTTCTAATACGGGAAAACCCAGTGTCGAAAAGTAGAACAGCCTTACTGGCAAGCTCTTGAATTAAGTTTCAATATTTACCTGGTTGGGTGCCTTATTTTGCTGTCAGCCACTGACAAGAATCGGTTACAACACATCTTGGCAAGTCATCATGATATTGTCAGGAAAAAAAAGGTGACACTGGTACATACGTCGATTCAACGGCAGTATCAGATGAATCAAATACTGATACCAGTCACTGTGACTAAAATTGCTTTAGCACTTAACTATTCACTATCATATGCCACAGCCATAGTAACAGAGGCATTCTAAAGAATATTCATGTCTATGTCAGTCTGAATGGCTTCATCACATGGAATTCCTCCTTCTAGCCTACTAAGAAAATATACTTTCAAGTCTTTCACGACCAAAGATATGCAGCATAAAAATAAAAAAACACAAGTATCTCTTCCCGTTTAATTGTAATTTATTTTCCTAAGGCATAATTACATTGACAAAACCCAGTTCTGATTTTAAATGTTAAACTGAAGCATCATAACTTCCGTGTGCAAGACAACAGGCTTACTTACCACTGGACTCCCAGAATGAAATATTGATGTTTACAAGTCATTGGAATTCTTTACTGTTCTAGATTATGTTTTGTGGTTAAGAATAATGAAACAAGTAGAGGCGTTGTTTATGCTTTATTGCATTCTGTACCGAGCCTGGCGAGTCACATGACGAGTTATAATACATGTATATACATAGCAGTTTGACAAATTGGAGCCAATAGTTTAATTGGATTAACAACTGCATAGATTGTAGATAAATACCTTAAACATTATTTAAAAGCAGGATTAGTGAAACAACATAGTACTTTTTAGATTATAAATTAAATATATTTCAAAGTTTTGTTAAAAGACCCCCTACAAAAGACCACAGTTCGGGAGTCATAATGACCCTCAGCTTTTATAGGCTAGGGCAAATGCTGCTTTATTTAAGAAATAAAGGATGAGTGGGAGTTGTTTATTGTTCAATAAAACACTGCAGGGAGATTAAAGTTAAGTTTGGTACTTTCCGGATATTTTCACATTTTTTACATTGATTATCTGTACCTTATCTCCTCATACTGATTGTCAAATCTCTTCCACTTTTGGATGCGATCCTTCGGCATTGTGTTTATCTACATTGCACAGCTACATCTATGTGCAACAACTCCCTACCCTCTCAAAAAACATCGTCAAAGATACAACTTCCATCAAGTTGCGAGCACATATTCAAATCTCCATATATGACGTCATGATAGAACAATGTTTTATCGTGAAATAAATTATGCTTTGTTCTTCATTGTTCTTTTTAATTGAACGCGTAGCTATGTTATATTTACTGATCGAATGGCCTCTGCTGCAGTGAGTAATGGTACAATTATTAACAGTTTCACTATTAGGGTTATTATTAGGTTTACTATAGGGAGCTCATAGGACTGCTGGTGGCCGTGTATAGGGTATATCCTTTGATGGATAAGCTTCTTTACACGTCCGTCATTTATCATGTCTCAAGTCTCTATCCATAGCATAGTTGATAAATAGAGGAGTTATCACATGTGTCTTTGTTTGGGAATTATCAGCTGAGTCTTAATCAGCATGTGCCCAAACCTTTCCTATTTTGGGAAGAAAGAAACTCCAGTCTTAAGTTACATAAGTGAAGAGATACATGTATTTATTTGCAATGTGAAGCAAAACAAACTAGCTACTAACTTCTTTTGGGAATTTTATCTGTTGAGATGTAAGTTCCTTAGGAATATAAATAATATTAAAACATTAAGTTGAACAGTGTTGTATCATATTTCAAAGTTCAATAACTGTATGAAACAACACTGCAGGATCATTCTATGACATTTGATCATGTCCATCTTATTTATCAAATTTATTGTGTTTTGATTGGAACCAGGGTTTAAAAAAAGACAGTATTGGCACAACCAGGAACATCAGCAAGGTCAGCAGTAGTAGCCTACCTAGGCACCAGCCAAGAGCAACTTTCAGAACTGTTGTTAATCCCATGACAAACTATGACCAATGTGTTTGCAGTGCATGGATCCCAGAAGAAAGCATTCACCTGTATGCCGACAATCGCAACAAGTACAGCCTCACGTCCAGAATCCCCCGCGGCTTTAAGGAGGCCATTGAAGCTATAGAGGATGCGCTCAAAGCTCTGCCCGCCAGTGTAAGCTGATGTAGAATTGTCCCCACCATTGTGGCCTTGTTTCAGACGTCTTGTATTTTGACATTAACAGACAGTTTGAGGAATCTCCTTCTGGATAAACTTCACGCTCACACAGTATGATGAGAATTGCTTCATCAAATTTAGGTTAGGCCCTCATCTGTCAAAGACTTTATGGTTCTGAAAGTTACAGTGGTGTGCAGCTTATTTTGTCACAACCACTTGGTCCAATTTCTTTGCCTGATGTTGAGTATGTGACCATACTATTTTGCTTGAAGTTGTATACTTTAGTTTGGAAAATAGATTTTTATGACTGCTTATAACAAAAACCCAAAAAGTGATTATGTCCAACAAAAAGAATATTGTTTAACAGAGGAGTATGTGTTTTATGGAGTGAATTAACACTTTCTGTAATGTCAGAATAGAAGTTTGATCAAGATGATTAGATTGAGTTAACACTGAAGATTTTGATCCTTTTGTTGCTTCAATACTTGGGCTACGAAAATCCCAAACAGACATATTTGGCCTGAGCGAAGTATGTAGCTACAATGCTATGTATATTCCCCTGTTTGACAAGTGTTATGTTGGACTACATGTGCAGCCTAGCAAGCACTGATAGTCGGGAACAAGGTATGTCCTCTTTCAGGTGGCTGTAAAGACCTGTGAACTGCCATCTATAGATGAAGAGCTGGCTCAGATATTCCCTACAACCGGCACGAAGAAAGACGGAGCAGCTCACAGAGACTACTCCAGGGAACCTCTTGCTGGCAAGAAGGTAAGTGCACTTGTAGGGACTACTTGCAGCATCAGCTGTGTTGTCTATAGACAAACAACGCACAAGGCAGCTCACAGGTCTGCTAGTTGATAAGTAGGATCTAACTGAAGTGAACCATCAGGCTCAAGGCAGCTCACAAGTCTGCAAGTTGATAAGTAGTATCTAACTGAAGTGAATCATCAGGCTCAAGGCAGCTCACAAGTCTGCTAGTTGATAAGTAGGATCTAACTGAAGTGAATCATCAGGCTCAAGGCAGCTCACAGGTCTGCTGGTTGATAAGTAGGATCTAACTGAAGTGAATCATCAGGCTCAAGGCAGCTCACAGGTCTGCTAGCTGATAAGTAGGATCTAACTGAAGTGAATCATCAGGCTCAAGGCAGCTCACAGGTCTGCTGGTTGATAAGTAGGATCTAACTGAAGTGAATCATCAGGCTCAAGGCAGCTCACAGGTCTGCTAGCTGATAAGTAGGATCTAACTGAAGTGAATCATCAGGCTCAAGGCAGCTCACAGGTCTGCTGGTTGATAAGTAGGATCTAACTGAAGTGAATCATCAGGCTCAAGGCAGCTCACAGGTCTGCTAGCTGATAAGTAGGATCTAACTGAAGTGAATCATCAGGCTCAAGGCAGCTCACAAGTCTGCAAGTTGATAAGTAGGATCTAACTGAAGTGAATCATCAGGCTCAAGGCAGCTCACAAGTCTGCTAGTTGATAAGGTGTCCTCCCATTAGTTAGACGTCCCAATAGTTAGACAGCTTATAACAACACTTTAAACGGTTGAGTGCACACTAACCCTTATGCTTGTTACCTCAGACTTTAAAATGGAATAGTCTAGATAAGATCTGACAAACAAAGCAAAGCAGCTTTAAATAGATACTTTAATATTATACTTAACATTTAATGACACTTTACATTTGATAAATTATATACAGTTTGGTGAAATGATGGCATCACTGGGATGCTGGCTTCATCTACTTGAGTGACTTGCTCCTCTAGAACAGAACAGAACTTTATTACGCTCAGCCCGAGATCCTCGGCATAGGAGGTACAAACTGACAGCAAAATACACATTATAATTGCGGATTGTGGTTAGCCGGAAGATTTTACAATTTGCATTACATATTTACAGAATTTACTAAGGTTTTTTAATACAGATATCTCTTTACAAGTGAAAAGTCTTTGAAATTTAATCATATTAGGTCTTTTAGAATATGTAGGTGGGATATACAAAATTCTTTCTTTAGTAAAATATGGACATTTAAAAATATAGTGAAATTCATCTCCAATATCATCAATAAAAGGCAGTTTACATTTTCTTTCACAAATAGGTATCCCATTCCATCTTCCTTTTTCAATTGGTAAGTGGTGGCATGAAGTACGAAATAAAAGTAGAGGGATAGCTTTATTTAGGGGTAGGGACGTCAGATAATTTTCTAATTCAAATTGTGGTTTCAAGAGAGAATAGACTACACTTTCCTCGTGCAATGCCTGCATCTGTGTGGTTTCTTCTCGCGCTCTTTTACGAAGATTGCTGACAAAGTTCACTCTGGTTTCATCTTCAGGCGGATGGTTATGTTCCGACTGATTGCAAAGAAAGTCACCGACAGTCGTACATTTCCCATTGCACGTCTTGACGACACATCTCGAATGTGAGCAGGTTTGCCTCTCGCGGTTTCTGTTGTAAATATATCCATCTAATATCAACTGCTCACTTCCACGCCGAGAGATGATGTACTCTACTTTCCTTAAACCATCCATATCGATACTGATAATGATACGTACCCCAAGATCATTTTTATTTCTTTGATGAGTACGTAATCTAAACTCAACTCCTTCAACTGATCATACAGTAAGACAATTAAGCTACTCCATAGTTTACACAGTTAATCTCATGCCTATTGAACCTGTGCTGAGAGTAAGGTAATTTAGGTTAATTAAACGAAATTATAACATTTATACTCCCTAAACTGTGAGTCCCCTATCCCTACTCAGTACTTTAATCTAATTAGGACTGATCCATTACACCTGTAGGTATATTCCCTCTTTGCCTAAATAGAAATGTCTAACAATTGGGACGTCTAACTAATGGGACGTCTAACTAATGGGATATAACCGTTGATAAGTAGGATCTAACTGAAGTGAATCATCAGGCTCAAGGCAGCTCAATGCTTGTTGATAATTAGTATCTAGCTGAATTCAATTGCCTGACTCAAGGTAGATCATAAAACTGCTAGGTAAGAGGCTTAAGATATTACTGAGAATCTTCTCTACCTAGTAGTAATATTTGTTGAATATTGAGGATCAAGATATTTAAATGTTCAGTCAGTCAACTGAAGACTCAGTAAAATAAAGTATACTTTTAACCAGGTTCTGTTACAAGTCAAGATTGTGCATAAAAGACAATTGAAATAATTTGTATTAAAATTCAAAACCAAGGAAGCAGCAGAGTGGCTGAACTCTGTTTTCAGATTTTTATTAAGTTGGAGTGTATTTTGCTTGGAAATCTACCTTTTCATACGATGTACCTGCACAAAACTGCATTCAGTCTTATTTGTGACACATTCATTGATCTGATACTTAAATTTATTTTACCTTCTAAGCTCTTGCCTTCTGCGTGTTCTCCATGCATCGCATGAAAGAAGGGAAGTGATAAAAAGAGGAAAATCTGTTATTGGACCATTTGCATTTAGGTTGCAGACCTTCAGAGTATATTTGATTGGTATACTTCTGCTCAAGGGGCATGACTGGTTTTGATTACACTGGGTAGGTTTGTTGACATGTGAAAATTCTGAGCCACGTAGAGGGCATGGATCAACTTGTGAATGTTGGCAGCTATGTACGCATCCAATCCTCCCACATGATCTTGTGTGTAGATGTTACTGTACAAACATGTCAGTAGGCAGCAGGTAATATGTTCCCGCCACCCTTAACCACTAAACTGTGGTTACACATGGTGAATGGGGTGCTGAGTGTGTGACTTTGTCATATGCCTGCAGTCTCCATCACCTACGTCCCCGTTTTCCTGAGATGCTGGCTGACCCGCAGTGCTAGATCTACACTCCTTCCCTCAACTTCTCAACCTTCTCTCTATCGCTGCAGTAGCTACTCCTCTGTACATCTTCATTTTGTTGATCACCCAGGATTTCTTCAAAGCAATTTTACATCATTTTACTTCTTAATTTGTTTGTTGGGAGATACACCCTTGTATGTTGTAAATTTATTTTGCGTAATCTGAGTTAATATTTAAAAAGAAAAGTTTGTTATTGTCAGAACACTGACCATATTACCAGGAAACTGAATTATTTTTTTTTGCCGATTGAAAATTGTTTTTTTTGTCACACCAACCTGACATTTGAAAGTTACTGGTGAATGTTCATGTTTGAAAAACAAAAGATTAACATCAAGGGCCACATTCATAGCATATACCATGTTTTAGTCTGTTTTCAGTCGTACAACTGGGTATCTCTCGTACCCTCACGTCTAGTCGCACGTTTAAAAGGAAGCCAGAAGCTGGAATGTAAACATTAAACTTGTTTCCGTCCGGTTGCGCACACACCTCCCTATGACATGTCACAAATCTCTCAGCGCGCCTCTTAGCTGGACGCTCAAGAAAGGCTTTTGCGGTAGACTGCTAGTTTGTATTCTGCTAGTACTTATCACTTGTCTACAGTTGTTGTTCTAATAAAGTAATGATAATATGTCTTCCCTGTAGACTCCTAGAATGTAATCCTTGGTAATCCATTGTTTGTGTTCAACACGTGTTTCACTGTTTGACTTGATTATACACGTGGCAACATGTCGGGCATTGGTGCCTTGTATCAAAGAAAACTGTCTTAAGTAGACCCTCACAAGTTTTGTCCTTTCTGCATCATTAAGGACGGGTTTCAACGTGTTCGTGGGATAAACGTTGTAAAGAATGTGAGCACCTGTCTTCAATAAACTTTAACTTGTATCTTCGTGCATTGGCGAAGCGGACTGCTGACCAGGGCTACAAGCAGAGAAGGTCATCGGGTGGATCCTTGGACTTTGCACCCTCCACATCAGGCCCTGGGGGTGGCTAGTCAGCCACACCCATGGCATCAGTTGATAAATACCCGCCTCACAACTTCTTTTTTCTACAAGACACTTGACCGTTCACCTGCTGATGATACTACCCGCACGACTGATCTTCGTCAATCGGTTGATCGAGAGTGTCACTCAGCCTCCCCAGTTACGATGGGACCGGGTGCTGACGAGGACCATGAGGGAACTACGGTCCCCAGTCTGTCTGTATCTCGTCCTACGAACGATGATAGGGACGTCGTGCGGGACGACAGTGGACACAGAAGTCGTTCCCGTTCAAGTCGGTACGACAGGTCGAGTGCCTCGTCGAGAGACAGTACACGACACGAGGGCGTTCATCGCCTTTGTGGTCGTCGGGAGTCCGATTCGGACGATAACTACGATGGGGATCGTAGTACTTCTACAGTTAGAGATCGTAGCCCTCGTCCCCACGGGGACGTGCAACGTTCTCGTTTGGATTTTCTGGAAGTTCAGCGTCGTAGTGAAGATAATGACAGAATGACGCCCTCGTCTCACTTTCCTATCGACCCGGCTTTGATAGCCAAGATCACGGCGGCGGTCCCCGCCTCGACGGCGTCGACCAAGAAGGATTTGACTGCGTCGGGGCTCCATGGACCGTCAACCAGTACACCAGCTCCTTCATTCAGCCTCCACAATCGATGTCGACAATGGATTGTGACGACAGCCTCTCGGATGTCCTCGCCTAGTCCCGATATGTATCGGGCCAGATTACTACGGCACGTCGCCATGGTAACATCAACTGCACTAAACTACCTGATCGTCATGGCCGGACACTGTAACGGGCCCCGTGGTCATCGCAACAGTTGTTTGACGGTCGTACCAACGAAGTTCTGGACAAGAACTCCAGGGAAGCCGAGCGTGACATCATCATTTCGGCTTCATACAACCTGTACCGGTTTCGAACGCCCCACGACGACGT